CTCCCCCTGCACCGCCCCCTCCCCCCGCCCCCAGCCCCATTTTCCTAGTTCAGGTAGGACTGGAGGTTGCAGTCTGTAAGACCTGCAGTACAGCACTCCCTTCAGACCTGGAGGGACACAGTAAAACCCCCAGTTCCCAGACTAAGAAGCAAAATGCCAGAGCCCTGTTCTCCCACACTAAGTTAGCATGACCTTGTATCCTATGTGAAAAATGAATTCAAAGCATCTGTCAGGTTAGAAGACTTTGCACTGGTGTAAATGGCTACAGCAGGAGCAATAGAGAATCAGGCCCCACTTGAACCATTAGTATGAAACGATATAGTTTATCTCCCCCCTACTTTGGCAGCAGGAAAGGAGGCCTCAATGTATTTTTTTGGTGAGGAAGCAAGAAAGTAGTTCTCAAGAAGAGATGTGTTAAGAGAGAATAATGTTAAAGCTCTCCTACTTTTTGCTGCTAAACAGAACTTCTACTAGCACATATTCTGTGTGTAGGCTTTGTTCCTTCTCCCCATCGATTTGCCCAGGGCTCAAGGCCACAATCCTTCTAGTATTCATGATATTGGCTTCTACTTAGTATCTGCAGTCAACCAGGATCTCAGATCCTTCTACATCATTCACCGTGCCAAGCTCTTACATACTTGTTTATTGGGAAATCCAATCTACTCATCTGTTCCCCATTAGTTATTTAGATGATGGCGAAAGTAATTTAATTAAGCAATACTGTAATAAAACTAACTCTGCCAGTGAAAAAAACCTTGCACTCTCCATGACCACGGAAGCTAGGACTAGTCATACTGGCTAATTTTCCTTCCAAAATAAAGGGGGAGGGGGAAAAAATGAAAGTGACCTGTTCGCTACATATCATGCCTCTTTTCTACATATAATGTTCAGGAAATTTAGATACCCAGCTGCAAAGTTGCAAAGTAGTACAGCTGATGCAACAATGGACAATATTTTCAAGGGATATGTCTTCTTCAGTGAAACAAATGTGGCAAAATTCTGTTAAGCCTTCAGTAAACAGAGGTACTGGATCACAGCAACGGGTGTCAGATGTCACTGGCTATATCTGGAAAAAAAATCTCTGAAAAATCAGAAGTGAAAATGTTCCTTTTTTATTAAAATAGGAACAGTAAAGCAACCAATCCAGCAGAGATCCCTCACAAGAGAAGCTTTGCGGAAGTTTTGTATTTAACAGAAAAACAGCCACACCTGTATGGATACTCTAAGCTGTGTGTTTATATTTTGCTTGTGAATAAATTCTATAATAAGCCAAAAAAGACCCAAAAATCTGTTGTGGAACTGGTGAACAGAAAGTTCACCCCCTTAGAGTCTAAAACAATGTGCAAAGATAGAAGACCATAACCACAGAACACAACAGAACAAAAAACAAAGGACTGCAAAACTAAAGGTCAAGTGGACTAACTTGTCCATACCATCCAGGAGAATATTAGATCAGGCCATTTTCTCCAGGTTTCTCCCTCATCTTTATATAGAGTCATTACTTGCCATGTCAACTCAAGCCTAAGGCTATAGTCAGCAGAATAGTCTTCCTTAAAGGCCTTTTCAGTGGCAATAAATCTTATATATATATTAAACGTATATACATACAATAGAATACCATATAGGTATTTACATAGATAAATATGGACCTGGTAGCATTGGCCTCAAAAGTTTCTGCTATGAACATCAAAAAGTTCTGGTTGGGTGCCTCAAAAGGCAGCATATTTCTAGATTTTTGTCTTAACTATATTTCCCCTCTATAAGCTAGCATCACACCAAATCTCACATGGTAGGGTGAAACATCACTTGACTCTGTATGGAATAGCCATATTGAAACAATTCTTCAGAGTGGTAGTAAAACCACTCTGCTAGAGAGGGTCACTTTTCTGAAGTATCATACAACTACCCCCAATTATTTGGGATTAGAAACGCACAACAAATGATAGTTGTTCTGGCTACAGTAGTTATTCCTGGTCAAATTCCAGCTCATATTACATTCTGCCAACCAAAATTCTCATTTTACTTCTTCTTAGATAAGAATACTCTTTAATTTCTCTCACTAAGAATTGTGTTCCTTGTGTAATGATTGAAATTTCATTGACGAGCAGAGTGATACCCAGTATCACAAACCCCATGTTTAACATCTGTAGGTTTGTAAAGCACTAAGAATTTATTAGATTAAAAGCACTTACAAGATGAAAAATTCTCATTACTATCAATGCTAACGGGTCAAAATGTATTTTATTCCAAACTGTTCTACAAGTTTCACACATTCCTAAAACATAAAATATATCCTATGTTATAGCAACAGACCAAACTGAATACTCTAAACCATAATCATTGCAAATTGCAGCACTGACATCTTTGAATTAAAATTGCACAAGGATTCACATTTAAGTTGTTTTAACTACTATCAACAGTCATTTGACATATTGTGGGATCAGACTAATTTTTAAGATGAAGATAATATTCTTCCCCCTGTATTTCATTAGTGAGAATCATTTGGATAAAAACAGAGCTCTAGTTTTGAAATCCACTCACTTGCCAGAGAGAACTGTTTAGAGTTTCTCTGTGGTGTAACAAGCTGTGAATGACAGTGTTCACTCTTATTTCTCAAGAGCACAGCTTTGTCATCTACCACTGTGGTCCCAACAAAGGAAAATCCAGATGTCTGCAAATTAAAGGAGAGCTGGATGACATTCGGCTGTTAAGGCTCTGCATACATAAATCATTGTAATAAGAGAAGATTGTTATATTAACCTTTGTCACGCAATTTTCTTTTTCTTTTGTAAGAAATACGAAAAACAACAAATTAGGTAGCACAATAATTCTATTTTAAATCAGAATGACTTAGAGCTCTTTTCTCCCCTTGATGCCTACATATAATTCCCATTCATTGGGAATTTCACATATGCCTCAAAAGAAGTTAAACTGTGAGCACATATGAAAATACTTCTGCACACTTCAAATGCCATCTTGCTATTGAGACAAAAAGCACATAGAAGCTTTCCAAATATATCATAATTCTAAAAGAATGATCATAGGAAGTCATGAAATCTAACCCTGGCCCTATAGGCATCATGCTTCATGCATTATTTCTCTGCCTCAGTTATCCCACCTGGAAAATAGGATACTACTACTTAACTTTCTCAACAGTTATAGTGCAATCTCTGTACCCGTGTACAATCCCAACGGCTTCAATACACAAGTGTAAAAATGCATCCATGCAGAATCATCAGGTTTGGGACCTTGACTTCAGTGGAACTGAAGTCTGTGTGAAAATGCTTTGCTGAACAGAGATGATAATACTGCGATTATGAGTGGATATCTTACCTAACAACATTTTAGCGAACATGCATTATAGCAAGCCAAGACATCCCTAAAAAGTATTATTAGAGATAAATTAAATCAAACTTTGTTTTCTCACAGAAGTGATTTACTTTGAGAAGTTTAAAAAAATTACAGGAACTTTAACTCAATGTCTGTCTTGTTTCTGCAATATTACTTTCTACCTTAACATGCATTTTCCACATAACCACATTAAATCATTCTCTAATTATTCCTAACTCTACCCCTGGACAAGTTAGCCTATTTTCTCACAATAAATATTTCTACTTTGTTGTAAAACTCATCATCCCAATCACGTTTTCCTCCACTGGCAAGGTATAGATAGCTGGGCATAGGAAACATGAAAAAGGTTACATGAAGGTTTTTGATGCCAGTAAAATGGGTTCAAAATCATGACCTCAAAGTGGGACCCCCGAACTGCTATGATCATTCCTGGTTAATTATAAAAACAAAACTAATGATCAGAACTGCTTTGGGGCACTTCTGGCACTCAACTGCACTCAATTTTTGGCATTCATTGTACTTCAATTTTTGAAAATGTCACAAAATGCCTTGAATAGAAAATAGGTATCTAATCTATACACCTGAGTCATCACAGTACTATACCATTTAAGCAAAACCCATAAGGTGGACAACCAAAGTATCTTAATAAAAATCATGTGAGAGTAAGGAAACATCATCCAGTCTAACATGGATTCCCTGTTTTGGCTTATCTTTGTTCTAGTTTCGTGCTTTTTCACAACGCTTTTTAGTTTTTAACTGTACATCATTCTTATTCTCCATTTTCCTAGATACTCCTAATAAACCTCAGTGTCTCTGCACATACCAGCATAGCTGTAAACAGAGCAATGCTCTCACAAATATTTTAACTGAATTGCAAAGAATTGTTTTAACTTCTAGTGGGAGAAAAAGATTTAAAACTAATATTTCTTTTAAAAATATTTTCTCCTCTCTGTTGGATTATTATTTGATTTTTTTGTAAAAATCAATGATAAGAAGACATTTTTCTAAGGACTGTTTACACTATTTTTAACAGTGATCAGTAGCTGCCATGTAGGTGAGAGTTTTCATTTTAATAAACGTTACTAACACTGAGGAGATTAGGGCATATTATTATTATTTAAAATGTAACAGTAAAATAAAAGATCTGAAAATTGATAATATATACAGTTTTTCCTCAGCAATCATTGAGCATGTTTACTTCTATGGTTTGACAACTCCAAAATAGTGACTAATATAATACAGCTGGCCATTTTACAAAGTGACTTCCAACAGTCCTCTTCAAGCCATTGCAGAGTATTAAATACATAGTTGGCTATATTCTGTCCTCTGCTGGGCTGGGAGCCAAAGGGACACTGAAGTCTCTTAAATGTCCCCTTTCCCAAAGAAGTCTCCCAGAACCTTACTATAAATTTAAAAGAAAGCTAAGAAGGACTGATGATATATGTGTTGCCCTGTATATCACGGGGCCTGATCTGAAGCCCATGAAAGCCAAGGGAAAGACTTCAGCATGCTTGGAATCAGGACCCACTTGCCCTCTGACGTAGTCTTTGGTTTAAGGGTAATATCAATCATCAGCCATGACACCTGTGTTTTTGTTCAAAGATGTAAAGTGAATTTCAAAATATACTCTCATTTCTGTCAGCCATCTGGACTTCTAAAGAGCATAGAGGTAGAACTTCTGCTCCCCCAGGCAAAAAGACTACAATTCACAAAAACTTGCTTAACTTTAACTTGTGAGTAGGCCCAAAGTCCATGAGACACTGCAGGCTTAAATCAGTGTCCTCCACATTACAAAATTGAAAGCATTCTAGAAATTACTATATATTAGGGCTGTGTGAAACAGCACCATTCCATTTCAACGAGACAGTGTTTCATTTCAAGTTTCATTTCATTTCAAAAGCAAAGTTCCATTTTGTTTCGTCGAAACTGTTTCACTCTTTCAATGCTGTTTTGACATTTCGCCCATAGGCTATAATGGGGAAGCATGAAACTGCCAATAACTTTGTCATTTCTAACCTGATTTGGATGGAACTTGCAGGGATGGTAGCCCCCTTCTGAGACCATGAAGTCCACTAAGTTTCAAGGAGATATGTGCAGGGGTTTCTGGGAAATTACACCTCAAGCTGCTGACAAGCAAAATTCGTGTGTGTGTGTTAAGGCACAGCAAGGTGAAAACTGCAGGCATGCTAGGCCCTGCTGAGGCCATGAAGCCTGGCAGCTTTCAAGGATATAGGTGCAGGGGTTTCTGGGAAACTGAACCTCAGGCTGCTGACAAGGAAAACTTGTGACATGAGTGACACTGTGTGTGTGTTAAGACACACCCTCACTGGTGCTGGGGCCTCTACATGACACGGTAGTGTGCCCCAATGAGGTCTCCTTCTCCTCTACAGCCTCAGTCCAGTCCACCACTTTCCATGACAACAGGTAATAACTTAGTAAGCAGCACAGTAGCACTAGCAGGATCTCAGGCAGCCAAACTGTCACAGACTAGAGCCTTTCTTTCCTTTCCTGCAGGAGCTTCATCTCCAGCAGCTGCCAGAGAACTCTCCCTGCCAGCCCCAGCCCTGGGGCTTAGATGTGCTCAGGGTTCTGCGTCCTTCCAGTCAGGTGCTAGGGGCATTGGTCTAAGGACATGGCACTGGCAGACAAGGTCCTTTCCTTTGGGTCAATCTAATCTGGTATGTTTTAGCAGACCAACTGAATAGTTAAAGAAATATATCTTAGCAAGCTTATGGGCTGTAAAAACCCTTTCTCAGGCCGCAGTTGATGTGTATATGTGCTGTTCCTGGATGGAAGGAATAGTAAAGAAGCCAGAGGCTGGCATGCAATGCAAGCAAGAACGCCAGTCAGTGAAAATGGAAATGGAGGCATCAGGGGGTGAGGGACAGGCCAGGGGGAGTGGGGAGGCAAAGGGGATGTAGCAGTGCAGGTAAAAGTGGAGAAGTACCTGGGGAGTCAAATATCCGGCAGGTTGTAGTGTGTCATAAATCCAATGTCGATATTGAGTCCGTGAGTTTCTGTACCTAGGAGGCTGATGAAGTGCAGTTCATAGGCCCAGGTCTGAAAAGTGGTTTGTAAATTCAAACAAGCACCAAACCTTGCTAACCTAACCTTATCACCAGAACTGAAGCCAACTTCCTACAGCTGAAAACAAAAAACCTGCCAACAATCTCCAGTACCCCCACAAACTGCACACCAGAATCTATCAAAGACAAGAATACCCAACTACCTGTGGGGGCACATTTCTCACAAAAAAAACATCCTGTCTCCAGTCTCTCAGGCCTGATCCTGAAAGGGAATTTAAAAATCACTTTTCATAGCCAGGCATATGAACTTCACTTCATCAGCCTCGTAGGTAGTAGGTACAGAAACTCATGGACTCAATATAGACAATGGAATTCTGACACACTACAACCTGCTGGACATCTGATTGCCCAGGTATATCTCCATGTTTACCTGCTCTGACACATTTACCACCTCCACCCCACCCCACCCCTGCCCCAGCCTGTCTTATGCCTTGACACCTCATTTCCATTTTCACTGACTGGCTTTCTTGCCTGCATTGCATGCCAGCCTCTGGCTTCTTTACTATTCCTTCCATCCAGAAACAGCACACACACACCAACTGCAGATGCTGCCTCAACCTGACAAAGGGGTTTTCAACCCAAAAGCTGGCATCCCAGGCAGCTAAGCTGAGCTTACCTGGAGCCTCACAACTCCACTGCAACCAGCAAGCATCAGGCCTGTCAAAGATGTGACAGGTCTGGGCTTTTCCCAGCAAAGACTCTGTGCATGTGTGTGGTATCTGGAGGTTATGACACCTCCTACCAGCCTTTCACCAGGGGAATCCTTGGTCCTGGCATTTCCTGGGGCTGCCACACCACCAGCAGTCCCACCAGGCCTCCCCAACCCTGGAAGACTGCAGTTTTAGTGGTCATGCCCAGTACCTGGGGCCTCCTCCTTACCCATAGCCCCAGCCCATACCTCCAAGTTCATCCTGGCATGGAAGCTCAGCAAGAACATGTTCTTCCCCTGCTGGCTGGTGATGCAGTGAGTTCCCCCTCCAGCTCTGAGAGTGGGGCATTAAATGGCTTTTAAAAAATGAAAAAAGGAAATAGGTGTGGATGGAGTGAGGAGGGTGGCATTTGATTTGTGTGCACCTGGAACTTGGCCCCAATGATCTCCTCAGAGGTGGTGCAAGCACCTATGCTGGACTCCTTTAAGAAGTGTTTGGATGCTTATCTTGCCGGGATCCTTCGACTCTAGCTGACTTCCTGCCCTTTGGGGAAGGGGCTGGACCCGATGATCTTCTGAA